GTGTCCTCCGGGGCGGTCACGTGATCCCCTTTTACGACCTTCGGACAAGCAAAGCCAACGGGGATTGGCCACATTCACTTAAGAACCACGTTCCTAACTTAACAACCGCAGCATTTCACTTAACAAGAGTGGAAGAACGGCTGCTAAATGGGGCAAGGCTCACTTAAGAAGGGCCTCGCTCAACAACAGAAATTTTGGTGCTCAAGTCGTAAGTCAAGGACTATCTAGATGCAGAAATCAGACAGAGGTTCCTCCTGGGCTTGGTTCTTTTGCTTCTGGCTGTTTCCCGCTGGAAGGGAGAGGCTTTTACACTAAGGTAGACTGCTTCTCAACAGGGAGGCTCCTTCTGCAAGGCTTTTATCCAAATACATCATTAAAACCCGCTGAGTTCAGCCTCTATTTCCACTTAGGGAGGTCGCGCAGGGTGGAAAAATAAAAGTGAACCTCTCCCCCCACCCTTTCCCCAAGGTTTTTGTTTCTAGCAGATAGGCTGCACCTGATTGTGGAGGCTCTCCCTTTGTAAGGATTACACCTAACACTCTCCGGTTTTCACCGGGGGTCTTTCCTCTCTGCTTCAACCAATTATTCCTTTGAAAGCAACCAGTTTTGTCTTTGGAGATTAGGTCCTAAAAGCAAGTAAGATTTAGGCATTGCCAAGATAATCCGAAACAACCGTTGTTTGTTTCCAAGAGCAGACAACTAGCCCTTTAGACCCCCCCACCCCCCAAAAACCCCCAAAATGCTAGAAAAGCAACTGACCCTGCAAAGAAGGTAATTTTGCCAGGTGGGACACCTTGACGGAATCTGTTTCGGCTTCTATTTGCAACTATTCCTTTTTTTAAAAAACTGTTTTTATAAACCTAGATCTCGGTTCATCACAACCCCGTCCTTTCTCCCTTTGTGCCCGAAGACACATCCTGGTAGATCTTGGTTCATCACAACCTCATCCTTTCTCCCTGTGTCCTTTTGTGCCCGAAGACACATCCTGGTAACTCTTTTGTTTTGACGGCCACACTGCATTGCAGAGGTATAGGAAGGTGTAAAAAAATATATATATATATGAAAAGAAAGATAAGTACGTTAGGGTTTTGTGTGTTTCAAGGAGCACAAATGTGCTGGCCTGGATTGGTAAGCGCACAAATCTGGCGGGTTTATTTCCTTCCTTCCTTTTGCAATCTCTGAACGGAGTGGGGTTAAAAAAACAACAACTTTCGGGCACCCCGAACTCCGAAGGATGGAAAATCCCAACCCTGTGTGCATTATTGGGAGCCCACCCCCCAAAACCCTGAAAAAGCAGAGAGATGAAACCCCATGAAGACTGCGGGGTTGGTGAAGAATTCAGCCTTTCCTTTTCATGACAACCTATTTTTTTTTTTCCCCCTACGCTGGTCGTTCTCTCCGCTGGCATTTTAAACCCCTTCGTAAATTGTTGGCCGGCTGGATTTAAATGCGTTTTGTTTGAGGAGGCCATAAATAAGGGTGCGCACCTTTTTCCAGTGGCTACTCAGCCCAGAAACCTTTCAGGGAGGGCTGTGAGAAATATATAGATATATATATATTTCGGGCAGATTCATAGCTGCTGACTCGGCACTGGCAGGTGAACGAACGAGTAGGCCCTCTCTACTGGCAGAGGGAGTTTTTCCAGAGTTCGCCAAGGGATCCATCAAAAGCCATGATTTAGCCTCCCTGCTTGGCATCTGAGGGGCATAACGTATCAGCCCAAAGGAGGAAACGGGGGAGAATATCCCAGGTGGGTCGGGGGCTCCCTTTGGTATGAAAAAAACTTCTGTTCCATGGGTTGATTGTCAGGAAATTCCTCCTTATTTCCAGGTTGAATCTCTCCCTGATCAGTTTCCATCCATTATAATTCCTTGAATGGTCTTTGGGTGCCTTGGAGAATAGCTTCACCCCTTCTTCTTCTCTGGGGCAGCCCCTCAAATATTGGAAGGCTGCTCTCCTGTCTCACCTGGTCCTTCTCTTCCCTAGACTAGCCAGGCCCAGTTCCTGCAACCGTTCATCGTAGGTTTTAGCCTCCAATCACTCTCTCTTCCTCTCTCCCCCTCTCTTTCTCTCCTTCCTTCCTTCCTTCCTTCCTTCCTTCCTTCCTTCCTTCCTTCCTTCCTTTTTCTTTCCTCTCTCTTTCTCTCCCTTTTTGTTCTCTTTCTCTCACTCTTTTTTCTTTCTCTCCTTCCTTCCTTTCTCTTTCCTTTCCTTTCTCTCCCTCTCCCTTCAAATCTTGGAAGGCTGCTCTCCCGTCTCCCCTGGTCCTTCTCTTCTCTAGACTAGCCAGGCCCAGTTCCTGCAACCGTCCGTTGTATGTTTTAGCCTCCAGTCCCCTCATCACCCTGGTTGCTCTTCTCTGCACTCTTTTTAGAGCCTCAACATCTTTTTTATAGTGCGGTGACCAAAACTGGAGGCAGAATTCCAGGTGTGGCCTGACTAAGGCTTCACAGAATGGTATTAGCACCTCACTGGATCTTGATTGTATCCCTCTGTTGATGCAATTTAGGATGGCGTCGGCTTTTTTGGTCTCTCTCTCCTCGCTTGCTTTGCAAAACGGATCTTCCCAGGTCCCTGGGCTCGCACGTCTCCCAGGTGAGCCCTGGGTTCAAATCTCTCCCCCGCTCCCCCCCCCCAAAATCGAAAGAGAACAAAGCAAGGGCCCGGGACCCCTTTGCCAGCCCCCCTCCCTCTGCAAACACACCAAGGGTTGGAATGGAGACTCAAACCTACCCCATGCCTGCCCTCTGCCCCCCAAAGCACTGGAATTAATGAATGAAGCAGGAGCCCCAACCGCTTGGTTTGTTTCCTTATTAAAAGGCTGGCAGGGGGTGAATCAGTGACCTTTGATTTCTTGGGGTGGGGGCCTACCCCCTTCCTGAAAAGACCACATCCCGGGCAGATTTCCACGTAAATATTTTGTCTTAGCAACCGCAGGAACCCCCGGTAAGATCCTACCGCTGCCGGAAACAAAGACAAACAAACGATGCAGCCCCAGAGTTTTGAGGAACGCGTGCAATTAAAAGAATAGACATTTCTGCACGGCGCTGAGAAGGAGGGAGATTAATCCTGCCATGAGCAGCCTCCCCCTTTGCAAAACCCACATTGTTTGCGTTATTGCGCAGAATTTATTAGGCAAATATTTCTCGAACAGAGGCTGCTGCATAATGGATTCCTTGGAAGAACCACAGAGAGAGAGAGACGACGGGGATCCTTGTCTCTCCCCCAGATCCTACGATATCCCACTCATTCCAGCCCCAGAGATTCCTCCTTCGGACTTCCATCTTTTTGGGGGGTGGGTGGGGTGGGGGCTCAGCCGTTCAGCCTAGTCTGAACACAGCGGATCCTTTTCTGGGGAGGTGAAATGTGCAAATCTTAAGGAAGCGTATTCCACCCCTTGGTTGCAATGACCGGGTGCGGATATGCAAAGGACCGGGCCGGTGCTGTTGCCCAAACATCACTGGGCAAAGAAAATGGACTACTTTGAATTGTGCCAGGCTGACGGCCAACCTTCCATTGTAAACTAAAGCTTGGAAAATGTCTTCACCGATTCCACTATAGGCAGTGTTGGAAGGGGCCTTGGAGGTCTTCTAGTCCGGCTCCCTGCTTAGGCAGGAGGCCCTACCCCGAGGGCCTTCAAACTTGGCAAGTTTAAGACTTGTGGACTTCAACTCCCAGAATTCCTGAGCTAACATGACTGGAGGAAGAGGAATTCTGGGAGTTGAAGTCCACAAGTCTTAAAAGCTGTCAAGTTTGAGGACCCCTGCCCTGTCCCATTTAAGACAGTAGAGTAGAGTGGAGTAGAGTAGAATAAAACAGGGAATAAGGAATACAATAGGAGAGGAGAGGAGAGGAGAGAAAAGAGAAGAGAAGAGAAGAGAAGAGAAGAGAAGAGAAGAGAAGAGAAGAGAAGAGAAGAGGGAATAAGGAATAGAATAGAATAGAATAGAATAGAATAGAATAGAATAGAATAGAATAGAATAGAATATAGAATATAGGATAGAATAGAATAGAATAGAATATAGAATATGGGATAGGATAGGATAGAATATAGAATATAGGATAGAATAGAATAGAATATAGAATATAGGATAGGATAGGATAGAATATAGAATAGAATAGAATAGAATAGAATAGAATAGAATAGAATAGAACAGAATAACAGAGTTGGAAGGGACCTTGGAGGTCTTCTAGTCCAGCCCCCTGCTTAGGCAGGAAACCCTACACCACTACAGACCAATGGTTATTCAACATCATTTTAAAAACTTCCAGTGTCGGAGCAGCCACAACTTCTGGTGGAAAGCTGTGTCACTTGTTCACATTGTTCTCCCTGTCAGGAAATTCCTCCTTAGTTCTAAGTTGCTTCTCTCCTTGGTTAGTTTTCAACTCATTTATTGCTCCTTGTCCTGCCTTCTGAGGTGCTTTGGGGAATAGCTTGACTCCCTCTTCTTTGGGGCAGCCCCTGAGATGTTGGAAGACTGCTATCCGGTCTCCCCTGGTCCTCCTTTTCATTAAACTAGACATAACCCAGTTCCTGCAACCGTTGTTCCTACGTTTTAGCCTCCTAATCCTCTTGGTTGCTCTTCTCTGCACTCTTTCCAGAGTCTCAACCCTAGTATTATTCCACGTACTCAAATATCCTGGCCAGCTAAGTTTGTTGTGTCTTTTGTAACGCCACTCCACTCCCCTTCCAATGCATAAAGAAAATTATTTGCATCGCACATAAGATACTGTTACCGCCGGTGGTTTTTCTGTATTGTTTGTTTTTAATTAAACGGGGTGACAAAGCCAGAGACACAGAGAGAAAGAGGCTGATAACAAGACTGTAAATAATTTAGAAAAAAAAAAAGGAAAAGAAAAGAATAGAAAAAAGTCGATCCACGGAGACATGGAGGCTTGGTGCAGCTGTTTTTTGGGGGGGGGGGGGGGGGGGGGGGGGGGGGGGGGACGAGGAGGAGAAGAAGAAGAACCCGGATTGCTAAAATGCACCCCGCTTCCTTTCACGTCAGTTCCAAAGTGACTGTAAAGAAGATAGCCAGAAATAGTCTGAAGCCGCATTGGCGATTCGGCGAACCTGCGCAGGAGGATGGAGAAGAAAGAAAGAAAGAGATTTAGAAGGTGCCTCTGGGTTCAAAATTGTAATCCCTTCCCCGCTTAACTGCAAAGCTGAGGATCGCTGCGTTTGGCAGGCATTCTTTTGAAGCGTGCAACGGTTAGAAAAGCGGTTCGAAAGAGCGGGCATAAGCGTTGTGCCAAGGCTGCAAGGGAAGTCAAACCCTTGAACGAGACATGGACTCGAGC